TGTGACCAATTGTACATCTTACAAAAACGTGCTGTCCGAATAATTTCTCATGCTGGATATTATTATGACCGCACGGCCCCATTGTTCTCTAAACATAAAGTGCTAAAGGTATTTGACCTTTATAAATATCAGTTAGGTAAATTTATGTATAAATGTATGAAAGATAAGCTGCCATTGTATTTTAAATCATACTTTAAACTTACCTCAAATGTTCACTCATATCATACCAGAAGTACCTCTCAAAAGAAATTATATGTTGATACCAATAAAACTTCATTACACAAAAATAGTCTTGCACAATGCGGTGTCCAATACTGGAATAGCCGAACTGAAATTATAACAGCAGCGCCCACTTTATTAACATTTGCTCTAAAGTTGAAAAATCTAATACTTTCTGCATACATCACCTGTACCGACTAGAATTGTATTTTGATGCTTTGTATTATCTCCTGCCTGTCAGTGTTAGTCCGTATTGCCAAAAACATGTACATGTCTTGTATTATCCTATGTTATAATATGAATGTCTGTCAAAAGGTTAGGGTACAAAAGCAAATCTATGCTTCACCCTTTACCTAAATGTTGTTCTTTAACGTGTTAATGTGTGTTAATTAGTGGACTGTACCCTTCAAGGCAGCGTGAGTTTTGCGTAGTAACAGTCTACCGCCCTCTGTTGGTTCTGTCTAGAGAACAGTATATACTCGTTGGGTGTGACGTCATACTTTTTCCCAATCATGCACAACAAACTTTACTAAGGATGGTTGTTGGTGCAAAAAATAACAATAAAATGTAAAAAACCCTCTGTACCCGGCTGTTGAATAATTACATAATAAATGCTATGAAATGCTAAGTAAGGACATAAGTTATTCTGATCATTCAAAGATAATGCAAAAGCTGATACCTGTCACACGTGAAATTATGAAAATTTTGGCCGCCCAAACAAAATGAAAGTCAAGAATTCGCTCAACTTTCAGTTCATTTCAAGACACATTTATTTCAATACCTTGCAACAACACAAATTTGTGCCGTACAGTATAAAAACACAAAAAAAATATAGGCAAAGAACAAACAAGAGTATAAAATCCACTTCCTTAAAAAAGCAAACTTTAAAGTTAAGTTCTCATGAGGTGGGTTTGAGCAAATAGTGCGAACAGACCATACTGAACCTCCTGGGGGCCGGGGGCTGAACACTTTTTTCAAGCCGGTAACGGCTTCAGAGCCTGGATGGTGCGCTCGTACAAGGTTAGCGCACTTCTTCGGCCCGACAGCCGCGGATTTGCGCGGACATCATCGGTCATCGCCACGCGGCTGCAACTTTGTCGTAATTGGACCAAATTTATCAAAGTCACGTCGCTGTGTCGTATAGGCCTACCCCCGATCCCGGTGTATGCCCACAAACATTGTTGATATGCCGATGCACGCTGTTTTGCGTATTGCCTTTCACAACCACTGGAAATCGGGCCAGAGATTTTCCAGTAAACCCGGATAAACTTTCCTTGTATCATTGGATTTCTTGTTGAGGATTGAATACGAGCGTTAGGTTAACTTGAGGGAATGGGCTAAATCCCACAAAATTGGTAACTCTCAGAAATTCGTAGAAATTCGACATTATCGACAACACACCTGTGCAAGCAAAACCAAATGTTTAAATCCTGGTTTCGGGAGGTCCAATACTTATATATGTAGTGAACATAGATACCTATCCCTTGTTCTTTCCTTGACACATTTTCTGACGGCGGTTTCTGAAGGCGTAGAGAGCCACTCTTTAGACCAAGCCCCTTGTATGTGGTCAAGGGCATCGTGGGGGGGGGAGGGGTCCTCCCCTGTCAGAAAAATTGGAAAAAAGGGAGAAGACAAGAAAAAGCCAACGAAAGGGGGATGAAAATCCCCAATTTGCTCAAATGTATTTCGAAATGAACCCCTTGCGACCGTTAACGGTTTGTCAGTTTGCTGCTGATAAGTGCTGTATGCCCTCCCCAAGATATGAGTCGTATCACTGGTTCTCAGAAACAAAACGTACACGGTTTATCAATGCATGGAGGCACGTATAAACTTTTCGGTGTCTGTCTGTGAAAAGCAGAACTAAATTTGTGAAGTACAGGGTTCGTATTAGTTGCCGGTGCATTCGACACCAAGAGAGCAAAAAAGGCCGATGCACATGACAGCAACACAAACCTCCCTGCTCTATGCTCTGCTCACAAGGCAGTGCTTACATCCCTTTTTAGGACTGTCTGTTTCCTCTGAAGATAGCATGGCAGAAGTCCGCGGTGACACACGGTCTCTACACATTTTACTCGGCCGGTCCTTCTCAATCGAAAGTTTCTGCGCATAAAGGGCTTTAATATTAATAGACCGTTTAAGAGGAAAAGCGGGCCGTCTGTGCTGCTGTCTTTTATGCGGCAAAGTGGCGACTTAGCGCCGCTCGGACGCTTTCATTAATCGGAGACGCCCTGCTGCTTTCACGGGAAGAGACAATCCTGATTAATATCAAGTTTGGAAGATTCACCGGACGAGTTCGTCAGAGGTGCGGTGCTATGCTGAGCTGAGCGCATTGAACTGTTCAGGGCACATCCACCCCGGCACCAAGCCCAACCCGATACGTGCTTGGTCAACAAAACTCGTCCTCAAGAAAAACTTCGGGCCAAGGGTTTTGGTTTTTATATCAGTTCACCAAACATTAATTATCTAGCAGCCTGTTCAGCACCTGGTAAAATTGTTCACACATGTGCAAGTTAATTAAAATGATGAGGTCATCGGCCCACCAATTGACAAATTTGATTATTACCATTGGTTCGTAATCGAAGGGGGGTGGGGATAAACGCGCGCACTTTCTGCGTGACCCGAGGAAAGACATAAACCAGCTCGCACAAGTTCGCCAAAGTTCAAGTTGACGACGCCACTGCGGTCTGTGGAGTGGCCCATGACAGAGTCGTGTAGTACCATTGGGCAAGGACCCACGCTCTATGGTAGTTACACCTCTGGCAAGATGATAGCGGTAAGGCACAAGGTGAAAATAACTCACATCCGACACTTCGGATAATTTAGCCGGGAGATACTTCAAAGTTTCAGAAGATATCTTGGTTTGCTAACTTTTTGAAATGTACTACCTTCCGCCATGGTAACACCCAACAATAGCGCTAACGCCAATATTAAACGATCATCTTAACGAAAAATGTACTTCCTTCCGCCATGGTAACACCCTACAATAGCGCTAACGCCAATATAAAACGATCATCTTAAACGAAAATCAATGTACATTCGAGCAATACTTATTATTTTATTACTAACAGTTATGAAGAATTGACCTTTTTGAAAAACATGAGTATTCAAAGAATTCTTATTCCTAATTATTGACAAAAAAATCTCTGTTGCCTTGACGGAGTGAAATCACTTTGTGCAATGTGCCTGAAGGTAACCCTCGATTTTAGGAAGGGGAGACTGCCCTTTGAGATGCAGGGGTGGGCAGTTTGAACATCAGACATTTGTGTTACTAAATCATGTAAAAAGTTATTCAAGCGCACTGTCGCACGATTGCTAGAAATTTTGGACGCTTTTCCAGCAGTATGTGCCAAAAATGAAAATACACGTTACCCTGAAAGTTTAACAAATCTTTGAGAATAATTTGATACTCTCTTACTCTTTAAGTATTTGTTATCGATATTAAGCAGTGTGAAATAAATTTTAATCACTAGCAGATTGCTTTCGAATCATTGACGGAAACTCACAGCTGTTGAAGCATAAAGGTTCTTCACATCACGTTGATAACATGAAACGAAAAAAAATGCTATCGTTTGAAACTGCATAGTTAATTTTAGCGCAGACATGGAAGAGATAAGTTGTGGTTATTCCATGGGGCGGTACTTGGATATTATAAAGTGCTTTTCGTTTGGCGTCCAGCTTGATAAAACGTGCCCTCGGCACCCTGCGCCTACTCCGACTGAGAAACAAAAACAATGGCTTGCGGGGTCAAAGGTTACCGCCACGATTGATAAACAGCAGGACCGCGGCTGAGCTAGCTGGCTACACCATGCGCCACTTGAGGCAATAAACAAGACCATCAGTGGGGGTATGGTTTCGAGGCTTATCTGGAGATTATTACGTAATCGTGCCTGATTCCTGGGAATGGCTTGTCAGAAAAGAGACGCCTGTATATGGTGGTTGGAAGCTTGGAGTTTTTGAACACGGGTGGAAGCATGGTGGAATACATTTTTTTGTTCCTGAATGGTTGAAGATTTTCGGGGTCTGAACATACCGCGTGTCCTCAACTTATCAAGAACCCTAACTTGAAACTATTACAGCAGTCAGCAAGGACTGAAAATAATCCTGTAATATAAAGTTTGCATGACTGTTTTTTAGCATTGCCTTTTTTTTTCAAAAGAAATAATTCCACATTTTTATATTAATTTGATTAATTTTAAATCTTTGGAAATGAAAATTAATAGGCCCATGAGAGTAATCACTGAACTGATTTGTACTTATGATAATCATCTTCGTTTATTTAGTGGTTATTTTTTTAGATTTGTGTTTTCTGAAGAGAAGTGCTTCTTGTATTCATCTTATACCGTTTGAACGTTTTTCTTATAAAATATAGAATGGTACTTTAAGGTTGGTACAAAATTGTATCCGCCTCATATGAACAAAATAAAAGTCAATGAACAGCAATTCAGTTTTGACAGGAAAACATCCAGGCTGATTTTCTTTGACTCGTGTTTGGTACATGTATCATTTTCTTGGGAGCGAAAGTCATTCAAAATGTTTATGACAGCCGGTTACAGCCATTTTTGTCTCATCAAGGAGGAATAATGTTTAAAGCGGAAAGTGAAACAAAGGTCAAACTGCAACTTGCCAAACTTTTGTTTATCGAGATTTATGGAAGGTAAACTTTGTGCCCTATTGGCAAGGTGTATGCCGTCAGAAACTTGGAACTACGGGAGAGGGCTGATCCGGACATAAAGCACCCACTAAACTGACTTTGTTTACGTCACATGGGTTAAACAAAACGCTAGAAAGATGAGGGAGGAAGAAGTTGGTGGGGTGCCTCTTTACGTTTTTTTTCGTCATCTTGATTATCAAACCAGCCGACCCCATCCCGCGGAGCTGGGTCGGCTAGAGCTGATGATGAGCTGTGCGCGACGTTCATTGGCTGTCGCCTTGATTGGCATCCCATGCTAGGAATTTGATGTCCATGTCACTTCTGAGGGTCATAATCATTTTCCAAACCCGAGAGAGAGAGAGAGAGAGAGTCTGTGTAGTCGTTACGGAATACACCAGGGCCTGTCTGCACCCCCGGAGTACTATACAAGCTGTTTGGATGAAGAGTTAGTTCAGCAATTTTTGGGGGTAGAGAAATTTTTTTTTCTTGGGGGGTTCGAGAGGCTTAGCCGTCTGGCGTAAAGTGCTGTTTGGCGATCGAGGTTGAATGAGGCACACGGACGCGGCGGGCTTGACTGGCAACATGGCGGAGATTTCCTCCATGGGCACAGTGGACATGAACGCGACCAACATGGCCAATTCGGCAGTGTTCGCACCCGGTTCCACGCAGCAGCTCTTCAACAACTGGATGGCCTACTGGCCGCAAATACAGCAGCAGCAACAACAGCAGCAGCAACAGGACCAGCAAGGGAACACCGTGCCGACTGGATCGAAGAGCGGGCACCACGGGCTCCCCAACGGACTCAACTCCACAGCGGCCGATCAACTCGGCCTGTCCGGGACGTGGTCCGAGAAATACATCCAAGAGGTTTGTACCCATTACAAAACCTTGTACCATTCACATATCCATCTCTTTGAAATTGTACTAGGTGACTGTAACTCTTATTCGATCATGCCGACGGTGTTAGGAAATTCTTTTGTTTGTTGGTTTACCTTAAAAAACATTTCATGCAAACATGATTTTAATTTTTATAATTTGATTTTAAATTGAGCTTTCTGTGCGAACAACATATGGTATTTTTCATGTGCTTTCACCATGCCATGACTGTGGTCAGTTTTATTTTCGTTCATTTTTTGACCGTGTTTCTCAAAAATTTATGTGATCCAAGTTTGCACGTAGCTTTTAAACATGTTTAAACAGATTTAGGTTTACAATTAATTGCTTTGTTTGCAGAATTTTGACGTTCACATGGATAAGAAATTTTCTAACAATTTTCACAATTGTTTTGGTTTATGCTTGTACTTTTGACGATGGACCTTTCTTTTAACTTTTAAGTTCATGTTTTCGTAACATGCGAGTTTTTTTTAACCGTCAGGTGTTGGGGAATTGGGGTGAAACACAGTGTTCCCGATAAGAAACGCACATTACGAATTAATTTCCAGATATTGATTTCTGAAGGATTTCTACGTACGATTGTGCTGCGTTTGTTTAAATATTGACCCTAATAATTCTGACTCAAACATTCTCGAGCGAGAGATAAAGAATGCTGGTACTTAAGACGTTTTTCCCTGGAAGAGCACACAGTGTTCATGGTGTTTGCGAGTCGCAGCGTGAATAAGCGGCCATTGCAGCCGGCTGGCTCCCGCTGGGGTGACTGGCTCGACGCGCTAGACACGCCGCGTGGCAGTGCCTTTGCGTGATGGCTCTTCCTTCCGCACTGCGGAATTCCTGACTCAAAGTTCACTCACTGTAAACCATATTTATGGCACAGGATCCTCTTAACTATATGAATCATTCAGATGTGCTAGTTAAAACCTTTTTAAAGACACACATTCCACCAAAATTACGACAAATTTGAATATTTTATTTTCGAACCGACTAACATGACCAACGTATTTCTGGGTGCCAACCTGTCAACAGTAGCCGGACGCGGCCGCGGTATTGACTCGGCTCGGCGTGTGTCAGAAGAGGTTGAGCAACGAATCTCGGCTCATCCGAACTCACTTCTTCGAAAGTTGAAATCGGCTTTTAGGCTGCTTGACCACGGCTCAAATTCACCACTATTCCTTTTATCCGTGCTTTAACACTGTGCATTTATTCAGGGGTTTTGTGCATATTAAACCGTGGCACCGATTTCCTTCTTGCGGCGGGACGTAGACAGGTCAGGAAGAATAAAAACCATAATACTCGTTTTCCTGTTTACGATGCTGCGTGTGGATTATGCAGACATGACATCCATCGTTTATCTTGGGCTCTAAACATCCACGAGTTGAATAAGTGAGACTGTGTTAAAGACGTAGACTTGTTTACCGGAAGTCTCATCAATTGCGCGAATATATATTTAGAAAACAAAAACCATTTCTGAAGTAAGCCTGCCGCAAGAGCCGTTTTAATACAAATGCATGTTTGTTATGTTCGTGTTTCTAAGGATCACCAGACTTTTCTTAAGTTGGCGGTACTTTTCGCAGTCCTACTAGGAGGTGTCAATTTCACGGGCTGTTTGTCTAATCAAAGGACCAACAAAAGCCGCCCCACGCGCTCTACTGATTAAAGTACCTCAGATATCAACCTGCAACTTAACAAATCGTTGCCCATTGTTGGTCCCTTTGAGTACGCCCTCCCCCTTTTGTGAGCGGCTTCTCGTGTTCAACGAGGCGATTTCTTTTCATCTTTTGTTGATTCCCCGCTACTAAACTGCCGTTAATCTGTTGGGTAAACTGCCTTTTGACCCTTGGTAAACTGACTGACAAGTAATTGGCTAGATTATACTCGAAAGTTGTTGGTGTTGGGTTGTGGAGAGGCTGACTTAGTGACGATTCAGCTTTATTTAGCTGTTGACTGTAAATGTAAAACCCTTGCAAGTTGTAAGTAGTTCTTTTGCACTCAGAGGTATTTTCTGGCTTCGATTTGCTTTCAAGATGTCTCAGCATTTTACCCTTTGACTTGAGGGGGTTAGAGACCTCTCTTTTGCCGGTCAGTGAACCTGACCTGACTCAGTTCAAAGGAATGTGCTGAAGTCTGCTAAATCAGACAGAAAATTAACGATGACTCCCAAACTCTTGAGATGGGCACTGACAGTGATAGATGGTTGGAACCCTCTGCGATCTAGGAACTGGGGGAAAATGCTTCCTATAAAAGCTTGAGTCTGTATGCTTTCTGTGTAATGTGTAAAGTAAAAGTGAAGTAAGTAGTAAGACAGCTTTAGCATTTCCTTCAAAAACATCATCAACCGCACTGGACATCAGTCTTGAACTTGACCACGAGCGGTTGAATTGAAAAACTATTCTGAAAAACTCAGTGCCCTTTTTAAATGAATTGGGAAATGCACTTGTGTAAAAAGGCTAATATTTTCATACTTTCTGCAGTTGGTATCCTACGTTAACAGAGAATGCAGTTTAAGAATAGGCCTGATGTTTTTACACTGTCTGTGATATCATTATTGCATTCTGTGTGGCCTCAAGATTCAATGGGACATGTGGACTAGGGTGTATTTTGAGGGAAATGCAGGCATAGATCAGCTGGCAGTGGCATGGCGAGGGTTCAGTTAGCATTCGCTGATGACTTTGGTCAGGCAACCGGTGCACGGCTCTTCTACTCATTCTTGGATTCCGACCAAGAATTTGGCAAATCTTTCCCTGAGAATGCCAGGAGGAGCGTTGCCTGCTCGGCAAGCAAAAAAGTCCCCAAACTCTCCTCCTTCATGGATTTGGAAAATACATAAAGAGAGGCCACAGTATTATAAGTAACTAACCCCATCATGGTAATGTCAACTGGAGAAGGTCGTCCTGGTTAATGGGTTTTCCATTTGCTTGGTTGTTTTCATACAGGGGGGACTGTGGATCTACTGTTTCGGGAGAGAGAGCTCAGTTGTCTGGGGTGGGGGGGTAGGGGAGCTGTGATGATTAGAGCCACATGGCTTTGACAACACTCAGGGATAACACCAGACAGGGACAGCCCTGAAAAGTCTGATGCCAGGAATGTCTGAATTACTGGACTATAGTATTATCACAGAGTCAAGCGTGGGCAGTTTCCTCTGTCAGCCAACTTCCTTAAGTTTTTCACCCATTTTCTTGCTATTACATGTTGAAAACATGGCCCTTAGCTTAACTCGTGTCAATTATGGATTCTGCGTCTGTATTCTTTCTGAGACAGCAGCATGGTTGTCTTACTGGAAATCACTCTGAGGAAATATTTGCTCACGACTGAAACAAGGGACAGGACTGATTCCACTTAAATTTAAAACTTGACTGTATATGCAGATTTCTCTCCAATTTCCACTAGATTTGGTCTTTTTCAAACTCAACATTTCAGTCAAGTTTAAAGGTTAGTTTATTTGCTGATTGGTTTAGTCATAAATCCTTCAAGAATTTAAAGAAGGGAACGCATAGGATCAGATTGAAGAAATGATAATGAATATAAAGTCCTGCCTTTTGCGAAATGAATTTTAAAAACAACTTTCTTTGAATCACCATGTCGCATTTTCTTAACGGGAAATCAACCTCGGTTGTCTGGGTGGTGTTGATTGGAATGCACTCTAAATGCTGAAATGGTTTCCTGACCTTTCTTTGACCTTGACACATGGAATTGATTATCTAATAAAAGTTGTTCACCACTGATATGTTCCTTCCCAAATTCTTTATATCAGGTTTTATTGCAAGTTGTTATTCTAAAACTTAAGGTGCAGCTGCATAAAAAGCCTGTACAAATAAGTTTTCTGGTTTTTTTTTAGCCAAACTTGAATTTTTGTTCAGATTCCAAAGAAATTTCAGGGAGCCGGGATCAGGTTTGAACAAAACAGTGTTTTTCTTGTCCACCAGTAGTGGTATGTACATAAAGGATATGATGTGTGTTGGACCATAGAGTAGAGGTTTCGTTGAACCCAAACAAAGAGGATAATAGATATCGGCGATGTGTAGGTGTGGAAACACTTGAAGTTTGTCGTCAAAATAGTGTCTGGAGACTGGTCCCAGAGTTCCATTTCCTTGGGGTTTTTCTACCCACTAACGTGACCCCTTGCATGGCATGGAAGTCCAGACATCCGTTTTGAAATTGGATCAAACTTGGAAATTCGGCCTGCAGCTGTGTACTTCATATGAACATGAACAGCCAATTTACCAAAGACAAAAGGGCCAAGTACATGTAGAATGGAATGTATGTGAACATTTGCATGTAGAGAAGTGCACACTTCCATCATACCCATTTCGTTAAGACATCTTTTGTGGCTTGCTGTTCAAGAAAGCATGATTTGGAGGATTAAAAAACAACCATCCAGTGAAGAAATGTGATCAGGATAGGGTAGTTTTTTAACCACTATGTTTGTTGTTGGACTTGGTACATGCACATGTAAATGTACGTTGTACATGTACATTTATGCTCGTCTGCCCCTACCCTAATATTCATCCAGGTATATTACAAGGGAAACAGCTAAATTCGTTCAGGTAAAAGAAAAAGCGGAGCCTGACAGATTGTTCCGTTACCGTACATTTTTCTGTAAACGTGGACAAAAACGGTATGTTGCTACAAGCAACTACACTGTTGTCAGGTTTCAAGTCATATTTGATTTACAAGTGCATAAACCACCTGAACCTGAATATGGGAAATGCAGAACACGACGCACAAAACCGAGGACAAAATGAGTATTATACAGTAGTACAGTATTTAGAAGGATTAGGCCATCTTTTCAGACATGCATAGCACTAATAAACGAGCAAGTTTTCAGCGTAGTACTTTTCAAAGACACCGGCTTTTCATTTGATAACGCTGCTTTCAACCACTCACTAAATGGTCCCCAATTGCTTACATCAACTTAGCCCATTGAAAATGCTACAAGTCTTTTGTGCAACATGCACATGTTAAGTTAACCAACCTCTGTAAAAAAAAAAGTGTTAGACATGTTCCTATGTTGAAATTTAAAAACAGAGTTTCATTGCCAGCATGTAACCGAATAGGATTTGAAATTTCAGTTTCACCGATGAGCCACATTGCACAACTGAGTTGAAATTTATTATGAGTATTAGTTAAGAAATAACACTTTTTATTTCCCCATTTGCCCCTGTAAATTATCTGTGTTACATCTGAACATTTTTCCCATGGTTTGTTAGGAAACGCTGAATATTTGTTCCAGATTCATTTGGTGATGAGCTTAATTGCCTGTGTGTGTATGAAGCAAACCAAGATGGCCGCCATGCATGTATGACCTAGTATCCCTTTTATTCTTGGGGCCGCATACAGCAGCCCATGTTCTGATCACTGATGATGTAATGTGATTCCTGTGACTCATATTTTGTCTCCAGGATTGTGGACCTTAAAATAGACCTCGCACTTCCAATTTTTAAATGTCAGGAATACATGTGGGCGTTCCGATTGCACTTTCCAAGAAGTGACCGGTGGACCTCAGACAAGGTCTTTTTAAAATTTTTGTAGATATATTAGTCAATAGTGCTACAAAAATCTCTAAGATTCCCTGATGAATATTGACGCAGTGTGTTGTTCTTTCAAAGAAGGGTTAAAAATAAAATGTTGCTAATGTACATAGCATACATATTGGCATCTCCCACATTTCAGCAGAGACAACCCTGTCAATGTCCAAAAGATAACTCAACTTGAACTTCAAGTTACAAGCCCTTCAGCAGAAAAAAAGCCCCCCTGTAAGAGGAACTGTTCATTGGTTTATTAAAAGTTGACCCCTTGGACCCCTGTCATCAGTTGTATACATTAAGGGATGGTTGCCATGGAAATGTAGGCCAAGTTTGACTGCACCATGTGAGGGGCAGAATTAATGGGACAAGGGCAGGGTTAGAGGAGAGAGATCTTCATTCATAGTAAATTTTTGTTTCTTGGAAGAGAGTGCAAGTAACTGTGTAGTTTTCAGATTGTGTTTTGGACACTGCCAAAGCCGCATCACTGGAAAACGAGAATTACAAACCACAGTATGATTGTTAAGTAGGCCTGTATCCATAGTCTCTATAGTTTGATCATGCGGCTTTGTGCCTAGACACTTTATGATGGAATTTTGCAAAGACTTTGTGAAATGCCTAACAGAAAATTATTTAAAAAAAATTGTAAAACTTCATCCTGAGTCAATTACTTTGTATGTAAAATGATTGTAAAACGGTTTGAAGATAGTACTCTTTAAATTGCAACCTTTAACATTTTTTGATGTTTTACCTGATCAGCAGTTACTTGCTGGCCAACATGTAACTACAAATTGTCATTTGTGTTATAAGTTATTGTCTTTCTGGATGTACCTATCTTGAGAGGCACCTGTTCTGTTAGCAAACAAAATGAGACTGACTTTTTCATAAGATTCATTTTCTGTCAGTCCAGGCTTGGGTCAACAGCAACCTTCATGTGGAATCATATTTGAGCTCTTGAACCCGAACTGGAATAGGGCTGTGTGGAATATCCAATTAACCGAATATTGGATCGATTGTTGAATATTTGAATATTATTTTTCAAATTTTAATAATTGAATGCAAAATTTATGAAAAGGAAGAAAAAATCTTTTTTGTTTTAAATGAGAAAACTTGCTCTTTGGAGGCTTACCTCAAGCAGATTCAAATGAAAAGCATCAGAAATATTACGATTTTAAAAGTGAATATTCATAAACAATCTAAAGGAAAAGAAATTTTCAACAGGGCAAGAAGTCTTTTTCATCTCTTAAATCTTGCTCATTCATGGCGGGAGAAACTCCTAGATGTGAGAAGCTATTATATTGAACATAATGTACAATTGTGTGGGTTATTGCCACTGGTTTTGTATCTGGTTTTGTTCTTCAACAAATTGCCGGTTGGCACGAATGAATATTTGGATATTCGATCAAATTGAAGGTTGAAATATTTGAACAGTGAATCATTTGAATTGACTCAGCCCTAAACTGGAAATAGGGACTTGTTCTAATGCAGGAACTGACTTTCCATGGGGACCTAGTCTGATTCCAAACAGTGAACTTTTGATTCGCCAATGATACCAATTTTCTCTCTTCTATCTCAGTTGTTTGTTGCCAGGTTTGATTCCAGACTGTAACTCAGTTTTTCAGTTGGAACTGGAGTCACCTACATCTACATAATTTCAAATCTCTTTTCATCTAAAATTAGAATTTAGAGTGTCTTCTACATGTATTCTCTTCCTAGTGACGTATCTAAGTTAAACATTAAGGCTATATTTTTCGATTGATTTTTATAGTCAAACCTCTGTCAAAAGTGTTTTTATTATCTCTGGCATTTTTGCAGAACCCGGACATCTCAAGCCAGTTGTCGGACTTCCTGTTGATGCAGAATGGAGAGCATCCTTACAACTCGGCGAGACACTCTCAGAGACTTGAGGAGGTGGCCAGCTTTGCGTTCCGAAACAACAAGGTAAGATGTGACTGCCCGTTAACGGAGGAAAAACATGAGATCAAACAAATTCAAAACATGAGAATGTTGCAAAAAATAGTGAGTGTAGTTCAGCATGATAAAAATGACCAGATGATACCCTAATTTTCTTAAATTTTGTCACATACAAATTTGCATACATGTACATCTGTCAATGTTAACTCAATAATGACTTTTAGAAGATATCTGTGTCATTGAATATGCCATTCTAAAAATGTATATAAAAAAAATGAAATAAACAATGAGAACATTTATAATTTTGGTGTCGTAATTCCAAGGCAAACCAATTTGTATGTTACGTACCTCAAATTTAGTTTCCCAGAGCCCAATGCCCTCATTATATTTATGTCTGCATGGGTTTGATTTATGCTGTGGATGCTTGCAATGCTGACCTGCTCGTTGATTTCCCAAGCTGTCCGAAAGCGAAACCTTGAGTTTTATTGCCCAGGAATCCAGATGTAACATGGACAGTAAAGACCATTATCTGCGAGACATTTGTCTAGAGTCTAAACCACCAAGTAATCTGCAGAATGTTTTTCCTTATTCGTTTTCAAAATAAAAGGGAGGGGGAAGGAAATGCCGCCAGACTATTTGTAGTGGTGTTATCAATGTTTGTCCTTATGATTTCTTACAGAACCAGATCCCAAGCTCACTGCAAACCATGGTAAATATACAGAAACTTAATGTGAGATGTTGAGGATTGGACGTGTTTTGTATAAAATGAGTCTGGCATTGATAAGCTTTTCCTCCAACTGTTGGGAAAAAAATCCCTGTTTTAAAAGTGAAGGCTTTTAAAAGTGAAAGTGTTGTTTTTCAGTACTATATCACTGGTTTGCAGACAGCGGCAGAACATCGGAAATGCAGCAGAACTTAGAGAAACAGTGCATGACATTTTTTTCAGAATCACTATTTGTGCAGGTTACAAATGTAAAAAAAACTCTTCTTTGTTGTGTGAAACCTTTTAAAATTTTTAAGTGCACTTCAACCATTAAAAATTGACCCAGCTTTTCCAGACTTAAAAAAATCCAGGGAGGCACTGGTCAGTTCACGATTTAACGTTCAAATTTTGAACCCCAAATTTGCTCTTTGAAAATATACAATGTACCTGAGCTAACATTGCTTACTGGCTGATTGTGCCCATTTGCCACATCTGCGTAAAGATACAAAAAGTCCCCCAAAACTATGAAAATAGCAAAACAAAAATTGAAAACAAGTTATTTGAAACCTAACTGTGGAATTTCAAGGATTTCAGTAAAACATTTCTATCACGTTATCCCTTTAACCTTCTACATGCACATGTAAAATGGGGTTATTGTTAAGAACCAACCAAATACACTCTTGGGTTAATAAAAAAGAGATGAGTTGGAAGCCCAGATTATAGTTTCAGCAAATGTTTTGGAATTTGTGGGGGGAGAAAGAATTTTTTCGGAATGAAATTGAAACTTACTGACTCAGCGCAGTCAACATTCTTTCGTAACTAAGAAAAGTTTAGTTGAGGACAACATGAAAATTGTGAAATATAGGTATGAAAGCTAACTTTGATGGCCAAGGAGGAAGTTGAGAGAGGAAAGGAAAGGTATACTTAGTAATCTAGGAGCAGTAGGAAAATGAGAAATGACTGTCAGCTGGTTTGATACTTGGGGAAAACCAAACCACCTGGTGTAATTCCCTGTCTCAAGTCAGGACTGAAATTGGAGAGTGATTGAATGGATGGCTGGATTTCCAAGGACATTCCTGACCCAACTGATGAAAAAAGCCCCATGAAGCAATGGCCAATCAAGGGGCCCAGACTTTGTCCAGATATCAGTGGAAGGGGGTTTGTAAACAACTTGATTGGTTGGCATGGTTGAAGTAAACAATCTCCCTGTAAATCTTGCAAGTTTGGTTATTGGACAACAAGCAGGCTTAATCAGGTCTGTGGCCACCTACTTCATACTTGATTAAACTTGAGGTATTTAGCATCTGGGAACATTGGAAACATTAAGTTTTTGGAAGAAGATAAGAAATAACTCATGAAAAACTTATAGCACTTTGTATGGAACCATGGACTAAGGTCCCCATGGTTTAACCACATGTATGTTAATTTATTAAGTTTTGCAAGTCTTTCAAAACAGCTTCAGAAACGGCATAGATTTGTACATGTAAACTTGAAAGTGTCAATTTTGTCAACTTATAGCAAGGTAACCAAATTTCATTGATAAGTATTGCAACTTTTGATTGATGTTTCCACAGAGCAAGATGATGACGTCGCCCTATGGCAGCATTGGCGACATTGCTGACCAGTTCAGTGATCTCTCACTGTCGCCGATTGACCGCAAAATGGGGCGGAGACCGCCCCCCACTTATCTCTGCCACCTTTGCTTCAACAAGGGCCACTACATCAAAGACTGCCCTCAGGTATGCACTGGCCAATTGGGACCATTTCTCACTGAAGCATTTTGAGACTTGAGAAAAAATATTGGATAATTATCCAGTGGCTCCCCAACTGTAGAGCTTGTATCTGGAGTTTCTTTTCTGCTTTCCCATTTTAATTAATTAAGGTTTGAAAACAAGTGTATCGAGAATCTTCTTTGGAATCCTTTCTTTGCCTGCACCTTACGCATGCTGTCTTTGAAATCATGCCAGATTTGATAAGATTAGATTAAAGGGACCATCCATGTTATTGGTCAGTTTCCAATACATACAAATGCATGCTGGGGGAGGTGATAAAAGACTGTATTTTGAAACCTCGGAAATGACAAAAAAAGCTGTCGTTATCTCCTTATCTTAGCCCTTGGGGAGGGGGAGAAGGCTCCGAGAAAAGTGTACACTTTTGGAAAATGACAGGAAATAAATGCATGGTTTTCTCAAGAAATTTGGAAGAAGAGGTGTGCGAAAAGTTCTGAACGCCCATTAATGGCAGAGCCAGGAACTGCGTGCTAGTTGGAAGTGGAAAAATAGGTCGTCTAAGCGTACAGAGTACCTTAGACAAGTCATACATAGAGATTGTCCTAAAAAATTACCCAGGTGTTCTATGAGGAAGAGACATAGATTGGAAATAACTTGCAAGTTAATCCCACTTCTCAGGACATGGCATTGATGAATTTTGTTTTTCCACGAACCATTTGTCATATCTGAATTTGCAATCTTTTAAGCCCACAGAATGTTAATTTTGTCCTTTCCATATAAATTACCACATGCACATTAGGGCTGTGCCGAATATTTGAATATTCAACTGATTATCAAATATTTGGTCATTATTTTTCGAAATTTGAATATTTGAGTGCTAAATTCAGGAAAAAAGAAGGGAGAATTTCCTGTTTTAAATGAGAAAAATCTCGCTGTGGAAGCTAGTTTCAAGTAGATTCCAGAAACTAAGGCGGCTGTTAAGCCCAACAGTCCGGTGTAGAATCCATCCTAAAATATGGAAACAGCCTTTCAACAAGAACATATTAATGTGCCAAGATAGTAGTCTTTGTAATAATGGTGAATTGATGCAAACTTCGTTGAAATATGTTGAAACCTTTATAGCAGAATTTCAACTTCAAATGAAAGTGAGAAGCTGTTATAGTGAGTGTTATGTACAATTGTGTGCATTATTGCGGCTGATTATGTGTATGGTTTGTTCATTAACAATCTGCCAGCAGCAACGAACGAATATTCAATGAGTTTGAATATTCGAGTAGTTAATTATTCGATTTGAGTCGGCCCTACTGTACATGTAAGTTCTGATTTGTTGTCATTGAAGTTGACCCCTTCTTCTCCTCTAAACAGTGAAGTGTAATAATTGAAAATGGTGAACTGTTGATGGCCTGCACATTGTCAAAACAATGGCTGATCCACTGCCTGTTGTCTGTCTCACAAGCCCAGTGTCTGGGCAGTCACAAGCCCAGTGTCTGGGCAGTCGTAGGGGACGGGGAATTCCCACTGTAGCCGGTGTTCAGGAGTCACCTGATTGAAAATAGCTATGTCGATCGCCATCTTTCCAAAGGGGCCCGATCTTATCACGTATCATGTATTATCAATGTGACTTCCTGGGAAGGAGTTCCCCCTGTTTGACTCTCTGCGCCGGATGCATTCACTTTCCGTTTTGAGGCTGAGTCTGACTTCCTCTCGGCCCGAGATCCCTGTATGTAGACTGAGTCACGTTACCTGAGCGTGCCTGTGTGCATGCAGACAACTGGCTTAAACACATCGACCCTATACATATTTGCTTGACAATGCTTCCGATGATTTTTCATTTTGGTGTTCAAGAGTTAAGTTTCTTGCCCATCGGAAGTATCCCCCCTGCAGAAGGAGTTTAGAATAGAAAAAGTGTTGGGACACTCATGGGACACCATCCTTTCGTTTTGATATCCTGAATCAATTGAGGTTTGTAGTCCTCAAGAAATAATATAACCTATTGTGACTCTGAAAGTCACTTTGAGGCCATGATGAGATATGAAGATCATTTCAAAATCTTCTCATTGAAGCATTTAAGCCAGTATGGTTTTAATCTATTCAGAAAGTACTGGTGAGCCTTGCTGTGCTGTCTGACAGATAACTTTGAAGTTGTTGCATAGTTAATAAAACGAACTTCAAAGAGAGAACGGGTAAACGGTAAACTTTAAATGAACATGAATGCTGCAAAGAGTGATACCTCAAGGTTCCTTGTACTTGAAAAAATTTGCCACAGTCAAAAAGCAATCTACATTAAATCCTGGGTCAAAAGTCAAAGGCTAAAAATACCTGTCCCTCCTCAAAATGTCATGTTGAAAAGCAGCCTTCAATGACTGGGAATTGACTTCCAGAAGTGGAGCCCCTGAGCAATTAGGAATGCACTTTAAGTCATTGATGTAATTAGCATCTCACCCCAGCTCCTGCTTTCTGCCCCCCCCCCACAGCTGGCAGAGCTTCAACTGTTAACTGATGATCTTGCCCACTTCCTGCCTATCTAATTAGGTGCTAACCTTCTGGTGGGAACTTATTATGACAAGGCAGACCCTACCCTAATCTAAATGTGTGCACTGAAGGTGATAACCTGTTTATAGAAACAATTGGCTGGGGATTTTAAAGTTGTTAGTTAAAGTGATTGGTAAAGCATGACAGTAGTTGTAGCATTTTGAATCAAGCTCAGAGGGTAGAAAGCTAGACCATGGAGGAAGGAGGGGCCCCTCTGGCTAGACATAGACATTCCAGTATTACATGTAAGAGAACTTTTGCCACTGAGCATGAAAAATATACCGCTCAAGGAATTACAAAGTTTGAGAATCCATAAGTCAAGGCCCCTGACCTCTATTCCTTCATGTACATGTATGTACACCTGTGATTTGAGATACTTGCAACTGTCAGTAAGAAGCTATTTTGTCATGAATTGAATTTGTTGTTTGTGTGATTAATTAGAATATCCTCAGTTTTTGATCCTCATATAACGTTGAACAGTCAGTGGTAAGTGAGACTTATTCAGTTACTTTTGATCAATGTTTGAAGGAATCTCACTTGATAAAAACTTAACAGTGGGGGAGTTTCCGAAAGTCTACTTTCCCATGTGAAAACGTTTTCCTGGGAAATTGTCCTTCCCCCCATCCAGATGATAATAAACAGCTGCAGCCAAACTGACAGACTTAATGCCGGGCCTATAAACATTAAAAACTGGTTTCGATAGGAGGGGAAACTGGATGAAAAATCTCTTGGCAAGATTGGCCCAATTCCAAGCCAGCTTCCCTTAAAAGGTTTGAGTTCAAGAGGCCATCTTGTCAAGGCTCTTACTTATTGAGAAACAGCAGGTCCCTCACTCAAGATGTAGGGCAGCTTTATTTCTCTGTGGCAAATGTAATCTCTTTCCTGTGTTGAGAATCCTTTATTTGGCATAAACAGGTACAAGAACCTTCATGTCACCTTACGTTTGAAAGTAGGTGGCGTTTTGTCCAGGCAAAGCAGCTTTGATTATTCCTGGCCCTCAAGTATGATCTTCGCATTTTGTCTTCCATATTTGTCTTCTTTTCAAATGCTTGCCCGTAAAATGAACGTGCCTCAGTATTTCGCTTAATAGAATAAGAGTGATATTCAAGGTTTTTCAGAGCTACAAGTAAGAATGCAAAAGCTTTTAAAGATCATCTGTCTCCATCACAGTTGTGACATGTTCCGCATGTCTTGTTTGTTAGTCATCAAGTTTGAGCAATCTCAGAGCTATGTACAGTGTACAAGTACCAGTCAGGCAGCACTAATTTTTTTTTCCACTTTCAAGTGTAGGAACTTTTTCCTAGCATCCATGTTCACCCTCCCCCATCAAATTAGTCTTCCTGGGAACTGTCACTCACTGAACTGGGTAACCCTTGGCCACTGTACATCCCAAACTGAAGTTGACAGTCACCAAATCTCTTAATGAAAGGATCTCCAGATAACAAGCTGTAATTGACTGTGAAAAACAGCTAACCACTGGTGGAGACCCTACAACTAATTAGCTATAAACAACTGTCAAGAGGAGTTCCTAGCCCCTAGGATTTCTCAAAGGAGAGGATGAGACCTGGTAATTATGGGTTGAAAGTGTTGAAAGAGGGGAAAACTTGAATAGGGTGGTGGTAATTTGATATGGGGTTGATCATCATTTCCTGTAATGCCATCATAACATCCTGTTTAGAGGTTGGTAAACAGACCAGGATGGAGAGGTGGTCCTGCTCCCCAGTTGGTAGCAGGGAAATACTAAAGAGGATACAAATGGGAGAAATTATTGCCAAAAATTTCTAGGGTTGTGTAATGCATTCATGTCATTAAGGACAAAGTGTTCATGACGTTTTGCATATTGTAGGTACGTGAGGGCCTCTCTGGTGTGTCAGAGATGATAACGCATAAATGTAACTTTAAAAAAATCAACTTCAAAGTCTTTCAAATGTCTCTAAAAAGGTGTGATTGTTGAACTTGCCAGGATGGAGATAAAGACTGGCTTGTCCATGGGGTGTCATCTTCATCAAATTAAAGCTGTGTTTCAGCCAAACTCCAAATTTTGGTCTACTTTGTTTGGCTGTGGGTGGTATCCCTGCTCTATTTGCAGTAATTGATAACAACTTTCATGGTGAACCGACCCATTACCCAAGGAGCAACAATGAAACCATTGTTGCATTTCTTGGAGCAGAGGCAAGGAGTTGAGGAGTTGACATTTCCTTAGAGATCTGGCAGCAATCATCAACTGTCATTTGGGGTTGGGGTTAGTTAATGCTGATGGGATTTATCAGTTTCTGGATGGGGCATAGAGCCAAGAATTGGTGAAGGTGAGAATCTGGTTGTAGACGGTCTGGGACAACTCCCTAGGGACAGGAGGGACAGGCATGGTGGCGAAGCTTGGCCCTTCTAGGAGGAAAACACTTACTGAATGAGATCCATTGTTCCTCTACTAGTTCCAAGTAGGGATAGACCAATCTGCTCTTGCATATGTTTTGAAT